CATCACCTAATGTTCTCCAATTTGCCCTGTCCCATGTGAGCTGGTCTCATTTTGTTCCTACAAATTTCTTTTAAGTTTCATCACTGCACCTAACTCTCTGCTGGCCTCAAGTCGGTGAGTTTTCTATCCCTTATGGTATTTCTGTCACTCTTAGTGATCAAATGTTATCTGCCCACTTTTTTTAACCCCTTCACTGCGATAAACAAGAAAATCATACGAAGTTTACCGAAAAAGTTTTCTGCTGAATTTGGAGCTATTTTTTTTCTTAATAAAATGTTACCATTCCTTCAAAGTTTCCTTATTTCACCAATTTCACCAATTGCATGGAAAGAGGTAGCTGGAAGGCATACTTTCCCTGCATGGTAATAAAAGATGGCTATAAAATGGAAGCCGAGACACAGATGACATAACATGGGCAACTGTGGCTATCAAGTATAAAGACACACAACTATGACGAGTGTAGTCACCATTGGTTCCATGTGGGAACAATTTTTGTTGGCTGTAGTCTTCATCGGTCAGCTTGGTTAAAGTGCTTAGTTTGGTACAAAATTTCAAGGTGACAGGAGACTAAGGCAATCGACAGATGTGAACACATGATTTCACTTTGAGCTTTTCTGAGATTCCCTAGTTACACAGCTGCTTTGTCTAGGAAAAAAAAATGTTTTAAAACAAGCTAGCTGTGTTATGTGCTGGGAAAGCAGATATATCTTCAAAATTAAAAGAAGTTTGAATCAGTGTGCCTCATTTTAATCACTTAAATTTCTATCTTGACAACTTCAACAAACTTGACAGTTGAAACCAAAAAATCAGAGTATTATCTAAGTCTCTACACTGCATGTGCTATAGTTCTTGTATGTATATTGCATACCTCAATTGTTTGATACCAATTAATGGTTCACTTTTCTAACACATTTAATTCATTTAAAAACATTTTTAATGTTTTGAACAATTGTGCATTTTCGTCAGCACAAACGTAAACTCATGAAGTGGTGCCATACATTGTGTAAAAATATAACTGATCAATGCAATTGATGTTGTTAGTGAGAGTGTTGCTTATGCGTGTTCTTGTAGACAGTGTTCTCTTGGCCAGATGATGTGCCACTCAGGTATATTTGAATATGTTGTAAGAAAAGGTTTGAACAAAAACCACGTCACATATGTATGTATGTGTACCTATGTACGTGCACCCAATGCCTCCTAGACTAGATGCCTGCGACGTGAGCCGGAGAGCTGGTTCCAAGGAGGTTATGCTGGTTCGATCTTGACCCTAATCTGTTCTCTCCTCCTCCGCTGCTGCGAATGATTGCTGTGGTGCTCAAACAAAAGTGTGCACAGCAGTGGGTCGAAGTAGGTAACATAAAGAAACATTAAACAAATTAGTGCACGAGAGAAAATGCGTCCTGGGCCCGGCAATCGGAAATAAATGGCATTCTTTGTTCACATGAAGAGTTCACTGGCACAAGAAGAAAATTCGCATCACCGCGTAAAGTATGGTTTTAGGCGGACTACGTGTACAGTCTCTGGGCGTGGTAACCTGCGCGTTTGACACAGGCAGATATTTTAGGCCAGTAGTAGAGTTGTCGCACCCGATCCATAGTTCTCGAGTAGCCCAGATGGCCAGATGTGGGCTCGTCGTGGCAAGCTAACAATACGTCATCGCGGAGGGCTTCAGGCACGACGAGAAGATGAGATCTGTCACCAACACCGGCGTTCCTTTTGTATAAGACGCCATTTCGTAGGCAAAATGATGGCAACGTTCGCAATTTCGGACGAAGAATGGTCATGGTGCCACCTTCTAAGTGATCTATAATCATTCTTAGATCGGCGTCATTTCGCTGATGAGACATCATATCCGGTCTGCTGACAGTTGCCACGAAGGCGCCGTCCTCTTCTGCGCTAGTACTGGCGGACAGAAGAGGTGCTCGTGATAGCGTGTCGGCATCTTCGTGCTTTTTGCCTGACTTGTACATGATGGTGATATCAAATTCCTGAAGGCGCAGACTCCATCGTGCTAATCTTCCTGAAGGGTCTCGTAGGTCAACCAGCACAAAGCATGATGGTCAGTCACCACTTTAAATGGTCTTCCATAGAGATATGGTCTAAACTTTGTAATTGCCCAAATGACCGCGAGACATTCTTTCTCTGATGTGGAATAGTTAGATTCTGCGCGAGACAGTGTGCGACTTGCGTAGGCTATTACCCATTCAATGCCATCTTGTCTTTGTACCAAAATAGCTCCAAGACCAATATTGCTGGCATCAGTGCGCACTTCAGTGTCAGCATCTTCATCGAAGTGGCCGAGCACAGGAGGGGAAGAGAGCCAGTGCTGTAGTTACGCAAAGGCAGTCTGCTGTTCGTCAGCCCAGACAAATGGTGTCATCACGCGTGAGGGCGTAATAGTGGCTCCACAATGTTAGAGAAATTTTCAATAAAGCGCCTGTAATACGCGCACAGACCCAGAAATCGTCGAAGACTTTTCTTGTCAGTTGGAGGTGGAAAAGCGGTGACGGCAGCAGTTTTGTCAGGATCAGGCCGAACACCAACGGCACTCACGACGTGACCAAGAAACTTAAATTCTTCGTAGCCGAAATGACATTTCTCAGGCTTGAGTGTGAGATCGGCCGATCTAATGGCTTCGAGCACATTCCAAAGGCGACGAAGATGCTCATCAAACGTTTCTGAAAACACAACATCATCCAGGTAGACGAGACAGCTTTTCCGCTTGAGGTCTGCCAGAACAGTGTCCATCATTCGCTGCAGCGGAACAGAGGCCGAAAGGGAGCACTTTTGAATTCATAAAGGCCATCCGGCGTTACAAAAGCGGTCTTTTTCCGGTCACGTTCATCGACCTCTAGTTGCCAATAACCGCTCTTCAAGTCGACGGACGAAAAATACTTCGTGTGTCGCAGCTTGTCCAGAGAATCATCGACTCTGGGCAACGGGTACACGTCTTTCTTTGTGACATTGTTCAACTTTCTGTAGTCGACACAAAAGCGAAGCGTGCCATCTTTCTTTTTCACAAAAACAACTGGTGATGACCAAGGGCTGCTTGAAGGCTGCATCACGCCATTCTGAAGCATTTCCTTAACCTGCGTTGTAATAGCGTGCCGTTCTGTTGGCGAAACACGGTAAGGCTGCTGCCGTACGGGATGCTCGTCGCCGTAGGTGATAATACGGTGTTTCGTTATCGGTGTTTGACGTATCTTTGAAGAACGTGCAAAGCATGTGTGGAACTTCAGCAACAGCTTGCTCAAACGCTGCTTGTTCGCTTCAGAAAGCGTTGGATTGATGTCGACGCTGCGGAAAGGCGCTTCAGCAGTGCCGATGGCCTCGGAAGCAAAACACTCGGCGACATTGGCGACTGGGTCGGCGTAGGCGATGACAGTTCCAGGGAAAAGGTGCCGGTGCTCGTAGCTGAAGTTCGTGACAAAAACGTTGCAGCGATCATCACGAAGGTCGACAAGGCTTCTCGCTACGCAGACACTCTGAGACGGCAAAATCGAGTGATTGCTTTCTATGACTGCTTCACCGTGCATCACTCCGTCCCACGCCACCTGAACCACAACAGTTGCACAGGGTGGTAACGTGACAGCGTCGTTGACGCGAAGAGACACTCGGGAGTGGCTGGGGTCGGCCTAAGCAGTTGTGGAGCTTGTGGTCGCGAAAGTGACTAGACGTCGTCGAATGTCCATTATAGCACCATGCTCCCTGAGAAAATCCATGCCAATGATCAGGTCTCGAGAACACTGCCGGAGAACGCTCAAACTGGCAACAAATGTGCTACCGCGGACTTGCAGTCTTGCCGTGCACATACCGAGTGGCGTGACGACATGCCCGCCAGCTGTACAAATCGGCATTCGGTTCCAAGGCGTCGTTACTTTCTTGAGAAGGGCGGCCAGCTTTTCGCTAATTAATTGAATAGTCCACCCCAGTGTCCACTAAAGCGCTGATTTCGCGACCATCTAGCTGAACAGAAGGAAACTCTTCCGCAATCAGCCGGTGGTGTCGTTGTCGATGTATCGTCGGTATCTTCAGTCTGCGTCGATAGGGGGTCTTGAGCATGACCAGTCCGAGCGGCCTTGCCACTGAAGGTCGCTGAGGCTAGTTTTCCCGACGCGGGCTAGGTGACCGGCCCTGCGCCACGCCCGCATAGGTGCGATGATTCGGCGGGAACCACCGCGGTGATGGAGAGCGTGTGTGGTGCCGAGAAGTCGATCCGCGCTGCTGAGCAACGTAGTGAGCGATTCCCAGAGACCGCTGGCTGAACCTACGATTGATTAATTGATTGATTGATATGTGTGGTTTAACGTCCCAAAACCACTATATGATTATGAGAGACGCCGTAGTGGAGGGCTCCGGAAATTTAGACCACCTGGGGTCCTTTAACGTGCACCAAAATCTGAGCACACGGGCCTACAACATTTCCGCCTCCATCGGAAATGCAGCCGCCGCAGCCGGGATTCGAACCGCGCTCCCTGCGGGTCAGCAGCCAAGTACCTTAGCCACTAGACCACCGCGGCGGGGCGGCCGAACCTAGGAGGTTCGGTGGCAATACCAGGTGGCTATATATATGCATACACTTTTCCGAATAAATTTAGTTGATAGTTTGCGCTTGTCCTTCTCTTGTGTTCTTTTTTTTTTTCGCGCCATAAGCTACGTTAAGAATGAACGAACTCGCATAACAGGTCACTCTGCTTCGTAATTTCGTTTCTCCCGCGCTGATCGTTTTCAGACCTTACTGACAGATGGCGCCACCACTAAAATTAACCTTATTTTTAGTTTAAAATGTTTGAACACAGTTTAAAATATTGACCCGGAACTTTCACGTAGGACACGACATAAATGGGGATATAAACGGACGCTCCGTTAATATATGCCCGCGATTCGCCCACGCGCGTGCGCCTCCGCGGGGAAACCGACGGCGCGTCAACTCGCTCGTGTCGCGCATCAGCACAACGCACAAGCGTGCTTCCGCGTTCGTTGTGCGGCTTCCGTCTCTCCGTGATCGCATTTGTGACTTGAACAGCGCGAAGCCGTACGATTCGACTGCTGGTTATATCCCGTGTCGCAATTCAACCCGCTGCTCTCAGCACCCATGGCGACGCTCGAGGACCGCATCTTGGGCGAGAAGCTCCAGTACTACTGCAGCAGCAGCGAAGACGAAGATGAACAGGCCGAAAGCGACGGTTCTCCGTCGCACTTGCCGGCCGCCGAAAAGGCGCCTCCACCGCCCGGCATCAAGCAGCGGGAAGGATGCTCCGTCAACGTGAGTGCCGCGCGCGACGAGCTTGGTGCCGCCGACTCGATCGTACGGCACGCATTCGCTTCACGGCGACGCTCGGCATATCTCTTATTTGTATCTTTTCGGAAAAGGAGCGTCAGCTGAGCGTGGAAACTCTCCGCCGGCCGGAGCATACAATGGTGTGCGGCTGTTAATCATTTTTCATCAGCAGTCGCCAACGCGGCACGCACGGCGCCTACGAAGTCGCTTGGCCTTTGGTACATTTCGTGGAACTGGTGTTTATCAGTCACCTTGAGCATAACTCTCCATACGAAATAGAGACTGTTTTAGTTGGAGTGAATGGAAATCGCTGAGATCGCGTGCAGGCACCGCGATTTGCTTGTCGACGCCGATTTTCATTCAACTCTTGCAGGCTCGGCGTTACTTGTCAAAAATCGCACTATAACGAACCTTTTCATGGCGGTGTTCTTTAATTGTAAGGGTTACTATGTGACACCTAATGGTAAATCTAATTGCCAAAAAGCACACCTTTTACATTGTTTCGTTGTGTCACCATAACATTTGTTTATAAGGCGTCACATATCCACCATCGGGAACGATTGTGCACTTATGTTTTCTGTTGGCATCCCTGAAGGAAAGATTTCAATCAGCAGTGTAAAGACCATGCAGCTGTGTAGCCGCACGAGTCAATGCACGCTAATTACAATAGATCTTGTTTGGGAAAAGTCATAAGGACCATGAACTTGTATCTGACATTTTTGAAGGACGGCGAGCTCCAGTATTGTCACCGCGACCTTTTTATAATTCAGGTTCACTGCGAAAAAATCTGCTTATCGGGGATTTTGATGCCTTAACTGTCGATCATGTACACAGCTGAACGAATGAAGAATACAATCAGCTACCATGTTGCACTAAATGAGAGACAAAAGGAGGAACTACTCAGAACAAAGGCTAACTGCCAACTGAATAATTTATTTTGCAAAGCCCATGCCTAAATAATAAGCCACGTGTTATTTAACAAGCCACGTGTCACATGTACATGAGGGACCAGTTAGAAAACAAGTTACCAAACACACCAATATTCATAACTATCTGCACAAGCTCAGATAGTCTGGCCCCGCCACGGTGGTCTAGTGGCTAAGGTATTCGGCTGCTCACCCGCAGGTCGCTGGATCGAATCCCGGCTGCGGCGGCTGCAATTCCGACTGGAGGCGGAAATGTTGTAGGCTCGTGTGCTCTGATTTGGGTGCACGTTAAAGAACCCCAGGTGGTCGAAATTTCCAGAGCCCTCCACTACGGCGTCTCTCATAATCATATGGTTGTTTTGGGACGTTAAAACCCCACATATTATATCAAGCTCAGATAGTTTGGCTCTTTTTCAAGCTCTGTTTGTGGAGCTCTGTCAAAAAGTCAAGCTCTCTTTGGCAGCACCACCATTTTGTATTGTCAAGGGGGGCAAACACAGTGGGAGATTGTGAAAGCTGCTCACATCGGTGCTCTGTCCGATGCATGTGTCACTCAGGCTTTCATTGCCTTACTGGCAGAAGAGCTAAAGTATCTAAGCTTACGCAAATCGGTACAAAGTTTATTGTTTTTTTGCAACTTGTTTTCTAACTGCTCCCTCATGTACACGTGGTATGCGCCTTGTTATTTAAGCATGGGTGTTGTGCAGTGTTTCAGCTGGCAGTCAGCGCTTGTCCTGTGTAGTTTTACTTTGTTTCGCATTTTGTTTGGCATGTGGAGCTACCAGCACAGGTAAAAGGAGTGAGGAATTTCATGAGACACAGCCGTGGCTAAAGCAACAGGCAGGACAAACATGACTGTAATTAAACTGAGCACCATTAGCACGTAACTAGAATAATGTAATGCCAGGCAGCAAGAAGGTGTCATGGTTCCCTGACTTGCTCATGAAAATGCATTCTCGTGTTTTGCAGTTATCATGGACTAAGAGCTTATCGTGCTTCTTTGGAAGAAATGGATGTTCTCAGAAAAACTACTGATGAGTCTGTACAGGATAGGGTGGTCTGAATAAAGGAGTGTGGCAGACAACCTCCTAACAAAGTATGATTGAAAAGCCAACTGAGAAATGCAAGGGACAGCGAGATCGGTTTCCAGAGTGTTTAGTGGATATATTGTGAAAAGGAGCAGTTAACTGTGAAGAAAAATAATCAGAAAACTGGCAAGTAACTAATTAAATAAAAGCAGCACCAGAGAAAAGGGTGGTGGAAGTAAAAAAATACAGGAACGCCATACTGAATAGGCATGGTGGATATGGTCCACAAATGTATGTCAAACTGTAAAGAATCGACCTAAAAGTGCCTTACAGAGCATTAAAAAGCAGTGCACTATTAGAATTCCAACCAGTATACCTAATAAACAAAAGTGTTAAGACAGAAAAATTGACTCGGCTGTCAGTATGAAATATGGAGAAAGCACTAAAACGACCGAGCATGTTTTGTTAATTACGAAAATGCTCCACTGCAAGACAACTAACCATATAGCACCCCTGTCTAAGGCCTTGAGCTTTGAGGATATCAGCTTTAAGCGCAATGAATCTGTTGTAAAAAATAATAGATAGTTGAAATCAAAGGCTGTCAACACGAAATATTAAGGGCTATAGCTCTCCTCTCTAGAGGAATAAATTTTACGTTTTTATGGTGAAGCTGACAATAAACAGACCAAAAATGTTGAACGATTGCTTTACGACACCAACCACTAGCTTGCATCATACAGGATGCCATAACATTTGCCCATTAAATATTCATTAGCCGCCTGCTTGCTTTTGAAGTGGAGGGTCATAAAATCTGTCCATTATGTGTCCATTCATACGTATGAGCATGTCCTCTTATGCTTTTGATAATGGTGCAGCATACAAGTGGCAAAGATGGGATAACCATATATATTGCACAGTAATCTTTTTGGTTGCTTTTAGGGCAGAGCAGATGCGCATATCATGAATCTTGCTCAAGTTTGGACATACTAACTGTCCTGCTGTCAGCGAAGGGAGGTAAAATAGCCGAGAAGTTGCCAAAGACCTTGAAGTCTCTATGGGGGGATCTTTTTGCGATGATAAAATGGCCTGAGGTAGCCAAGAAAAATATTGCAGAAGTACGAATTGCCGGGGACATTTGAGTTAACGGACATATTGTAGTGCTGAATTTCAGGAGAAGTGAAACCTTGAAAGGACGAGAGAAATCTTGAAAATGGAGTGACACTGCAGAGACATTCAGTGTTCCAGAATTTTTCATCTGCTGTAGCACTGAAGCACATTCGCATAAGATGGAACATAAAGAAGTGCCTGTCTCATCTTCTCTTTGCTTTTTTTTTTTTGTGAGTGTGCTTCAGTGCTACAATATGTCAGTGAGCCAAAAAAGGGGCCGGTGGACATAGTTACCCATTTTTAACTATTCATTTATTTTGATTGAGTATTTTATTTATTTTTTACTTTTATAAAAGGACTAGCGTGCAGCTGTATATACTCTCAAAGGGGACTGTGTTTCACATGGGTCCTCAGTTCTGTCACATAGCTATGCGGCAAAGTCACTCTTCATGTGCACAGGGACTCCACTGCTATCGATTACAAGTGTCTGGCTCGTGTGATGTCCATTGATGCGATCGGGCCTCTACCCGGCTACATTTTGCAGCTAGTTGAGTGGAACATAGATGTCATTCATCATAGTAGTTTCTCTGTGGGTGTGTGTTTCTCTGGGCATACAAAGAAGTGCAACTCTGATCTCTTTGGAACACCAGGAATGACAACTCACGCTATTTTGTTGTAATGTGGCTTCTAGTGCTTAAAGGGGTACTGACACCAAAACTTTGGCCTTGCATTTTTCTGCTGCAATGTGTTACTGGGGGCCTGTTAGTCATAACATGACACATCATTTACTGCAGTGCACAAGAGATAATTAATTACAGGCCCCTCATTATCAACCAGTTTCAGTTTGAGAGAGCTCCAGAAACGAGAAGCTGCCGGGTGCAACTAGCACCTCCTAGTGTGTGCAGCTTTTGAACAGGTCAGCACACAGAGCTGTGACACACTTATGCATGGTCTGCATCAATAATTACTTTCGAATAAGAAACAGGACCGCAGTGTCTCCAAACACAAAACTTTGAAAACGTGCGCCATGGCCATGCACTCGCGACCAGCCGCCGAGAAATATAGACTGCGGGAGCAAACGCGGCAAAAGAAAAATGGCGAGTATGACGTTACCTTAACTGTTTTATTGGCTGCAGTATGGTGACGTGAGGGAAGTTGGGGGAGCTCAAAGGGTCCCCTTCGAGGGTGTCAATGGCACAAAGGAGTCGAGCAATCAGGCAAACTTCAAAATTGATTTTAAATACCTTCCATGCTATATTTGCTGTTGATATTTTGCAGATGATATACAAATGTTCACGAGAAGCGACCCCACAGGCTATCTTGGCCGAAAAATTTTGTGTGGGTGCCCCTTTAAGGTGTACTGACGCTTATATTTTGCTCATTGCTTTTTCTGTTGCATTAAGTGGCTAATTACACAGTTACTATGGTTGGAAATCTCGTTTGCTCTAGTGCGCAACAGTTATTTGGAGAGATTTTTAGAGTTCCAAGCCGTGGTTTTGGTGTTAGGAAGAGCCTAGAAAGTGTAGGTTGTCCTTTTTTTTTTTTGATGCAGCTGGCCATGTTACCACACAAAATAGTGACAGGCACACTGCAATGCATGTTCGTCACCACTATTTGGATAACTGAGGGATATAGCACAGGCAGGGGGGGGGAGGGGGCATGGCAGGGATGTCAAACTTGTGATGCAGGTGGTCGTTGGTTGTTTACACCGAGTTGAGTTTTATGTCACGAGTTGCTCCATCTTGGGCTCAGTTATGCATTATGCAGCATACACTTTAATATTCGTTTTAAATTTGTTGTAGGTTATTGTTTCCATTGATGCTTTGTAGATGATGCACGTCGTTTAATCAAATCTGTATAGGAAGTTGTCTTGCCTTGAAAATTATTGCTCTAGTGCTTCTTGAAGCATTAAAGAACGTGTAAAGAAGTAAAGGAACTAACTAAGGCAACATATGTGTCATGGCATTTTTTATTTTCTTGTAAATTCTCTAGCTGGCACGTTGAAAGTTCTGCTAGAAAAGCTCTACATTCTTCATGTGAGTGTGTGTCTGTGCAGACTGGACCCAAGGGTGTGCTGAAGGACTGGCAGCGCTACCGGCAACTGCAGAGCGAGCGGAGGGAGGAACAGGAGCGGGAACGACTGCAGCTCATCAAGAAGCTGTCACTCACCTGCCGCTCCGAGGTGGGTGTCAGCAGCCATCTCTTGTGCAGGCATGAAGACTGCTTGCATTCGTTGCAAGGTAGAATGCATGAAGAGGGAGACAGGATGAAATCAAAAACAATCCCAAAACCGCCAACTGCTACAGCTGAAAATTAACTACTACTGGTAACTACTGGCCGCAAAGTTGCTTCTTTTGTCCACTTTAATTCCTTTTTGATTATGTCATAAGTGCTACATTACAGTTAAAAGACTACAACTAATGCCCCCAACACTTTTCTTGGCTTCATTGGCGATTGGTTTCATCAGGTTGTGTCTAACAAAGCAAACAATCCCTTGATCATTCCCCTTCTTTCGTTCATAGCAATGTGCATGGAATGCAGAAGTGGCATATCCACAAAATGAGTGCTCATAGTTAATGCTGTATTGGACAGAATAACTAAAAGGAAAGTTAATGGATGTTTTTTCTTGCTTTCTGAGCCGCAGGGATCCACTGCAAATTCTTTGTAGTTCTGCAGTGATTTTTTTGGGTGACCCATGAGAAGACCTATTGACCCATGAGAAGAATACTTTCCACCAGAATACCTGCATAAATGCTGCAAGCAAAAATCTGTTTCCATGTCTTGTGGGAGAATGCCTGTAGGCCCCTGCAATGTGTTAATAAATGTGCCCTGTAAGAAAAGGAGGGGGGTGTTTCTGGAAGCTTTGTGTCATTGGTGTGGTTACAGCATAACATAATGCTTGTTTGTTAAATTACAAACTGTTTTTTTTTCAATTGAAGAGTACGAATGCTCCTGCTTGTGTTTATCATATAAGAAAGCACTGCAGTTACAACAGACTCGTATTCAATGCAGAGCTCAACAAAGGTGTAGGTCAGCGGAAGCATTTTATGGAGCACCTTGTCCTGCCTGTTCGTAGGGGCACTTCTATATTTGACAGTGAATGCTTGTCAATTTATTTAGAGCTCACTCCATATTCTGCTTCAATATCTGCTTGATTACAATAAACTTAAAATGCGAAGTTTTGTTCTTTAGTGGATTTGCATTGGCACTCCTTGTGCTGCCCACACATCACTTGTTTTACGCACCATACAAGTTTGTTGGTGAAAGTCTGATTTCTTAAACCTCATTTGCTCTTTATTCCATTTTGTTCAAAAAAAGTTCATTGTGTAGACCCATTTAACTTTAAGGGTGTTTGTTAAGTAACATTCTCTACTTTTTCAGGTGCTAAAATGACTAGTTTAACAATGTCAATGTGTGTCTTGTCATCTATTACTTTGTAGCAGTGCACTTAAAGAAGCATCGATATAACGTTAAATTGTTAGCAATGCATACTTGCAATACTGTAGTGCAATTCATCTGCGTATTAGTGCAGCACGTTTCCAGTGATGCCATAGGGCGATAACGTATATTCACATTCTCAGCCTCTTATGAATTGCATGCATTAATTTGATATAGCTGTTTACCAAGTGTGGGTTTTGCTCCAGTCGAAGAGTGACGCTTCACTTGTGGTTACACTTGTATGCTTCCGCGCACACACACGCAGCTCGAAACGGAGAACAAGTCGAAAGAGGAAGAGGAAACTCCGCAGGAAGAGGACGACGACTTCCTGCGCGAGTACATGCGCAAACGGATGGAGGAGATGATGGCTGAGATAAACGCCAGGTGACGCCATTTTTCAGTGGTCACAAGAGCACACGTGCCAAATATGTGGCTCTTCTCTTTCTGTTTTCTTTTTCTTTTGTTGTTCTTTTGTCTGGTGTCTTTCTGCCTGGTGTCTTCTGAAAACTTACATGTCAGTGAAAAAAAAAACAGCATAGAACAATGTGGTTTTGTTTTCTCAGACGCTCTTGATGTTTGAGTTTTCCACTAGCTCCAAAATCTGCAGTTACGGCATTATATTGTGAATTTAATTCCAGAATGTTAAAGCAGCATCCCAGTGTAGACAAAGTGAAAAGTTGTACGTTTGCTTAGGCACAGCCAACGTTGATTCGGAGCCATATGCACACTTGCGCATCCTCGGGTTGTTAATCTGCTGTAGATAAACTCATATAGAAATAAATTCATATAGTCACAGATTTTTCATTGGGTAGTTTTCTTTGGCCATTCATTTTTCACTGCTTGACTAATCTGCATGCCATAACAGCACTGTGTGTGCATGTATGCACGTGCTGCACATCTCTGCTATAGGATTCTTTAAGGTGGTTATTTTTTTATTTTCAAAATGATTTGTTATTTATATTTCATTTTGAAGATAACAAATATGCAAGGTTTGCATTTGGGGTAAGGCAAAAAGAAGACCTTAACCTCCTGACTAGGCATTACCACATTGGGGTTGTTACTCTGTCATATTTACTATAATGCATGTCACTGTAACCTGAAGAATAAGGACACTTGAGGAACGGTATAAAATGAGGAAGCTGGCAATGCTGGTGCAAGGGACGGTGGCAGTTTTTTTTTTGTCTAAGTAAAGTAATGACATTTCTATGCTACTGCACTAAACTTTGAGTTCTTAGTGCAGCATGGATATCGCTACCAGTGGTTATGCGCACATCTCGAATGTTGTCGCTTCCAAGGCAATAAAAGAGGCACTAACATCTGGCAAGGACGCACTCAAGAGGAAAGTCGTTTGCGCTGCATCTTCAAAAACGTGGGCTAGCTGGTGGGCGTCAGCAATATAAAAAAAAATGTGATACAAATTGGGAAATGAAAGCAAAAGACACGCATCTAAAAATTTATGCTTTCATTTTTTATTCTGCAATGTGCCTCATTTCATGTTCAGATGGCTTGCCATTTGTCAATATTGCTGGTTTTCTATCAAATAAAGTAACATTTTAATCACTGTTCTTGCAGCGAGTTACTTATTCACAGCAACTGCATCTGCTTCACTTTAAAAGTTCCACCAGGTACCCTCTGTGCACTATGTTAATTTTTTTATCGCGACATGCTTGTAATTGTTATCAGCTTGCGTTCCATGAGAGCACTCTTGTTTGTGTATGTTAGAACTTGCTAATGATGAGTGTATGAGCTGCACTGTTTCTTCCTTTATGTAGCACACACATTGCCATCTGCTGCTCACTTCTGGCTTCAAAGTATTGAATTAACACCACGCTTGTTAAATATTTTTTTGGCAGCTCTCAGTAAGCAGCAGTGATTTTGTGTTTCACTTAATGTGCAATTCTATATTGGGGTGAACACTCACAAAGGTTGTGAACTTACCAGGCATGAGGTGTTTGTGATGCTTGAGATGATTTCATATTTGCAGCTGGAATCTTATTCCTTTGATGTGCTCTACTCTTGCGCCTTGAGGAAGAAATCGGTGCTTTTTTAATATACAGGGGAATCCCGAATGTACGACTTTGAGGAGACCACGTAAAACGGTGTTGTAAACCGGGCATCACATAATCGAAAAACTAAGATTATACACAGTGACACTCAACCTTGCCCAAAAAACGGGTGCAGACCGCCTGAATAAGCCCACGGCCTGACCTTGTGCCTCTGCAAGAAAGGTAGATTGAATTATTCTTGCAAGTGACATTACTTAATCGGAGGAGGTGCGAGCAAATCCCTCTCAACTTATTAAAAAATCGAATCCAACGAGCATTTTCCTACCGATAAAGAGAGTCCGAAAAGAGAGAGAGTGAGAAAAAAAGCAGTAACTGTTTACTTAATCATGCGGTTACGCTTCCAATGCCGCTCAATGCAGGAGTGAGCTCCTAAGACGTGCGCTCTAAAAACAATACGTGAACTGGTTGGGAGTATATTGTAGTAGGGCAAGAATATTCTCATTCTCAGGTGTTTGGTTGTAGGTACAAACAAGTTCCCATTTTTGCTTTTTTTTCTTCATTAATATTGACACATTTCTTGGGCATGGAGGGATGAGTAGAATTTTTAACTCGCAGACGCTATCAACTGTAGTGCCGCGTTGTTGATTCCACACGCATTGTGGTTTTAGAAGTGTTGCTTTTATACTCCCTAAGCTCTTTTTTTTTTGCGTTCTGCTGATCAATTTCTTCACTATATGCAGCTGATGCTGCATGTTACAGGCAAGAAAGGTTACTTAATTTGTAGCAAACATATTTACAACTGTTTAAAGTTTCGTACCTTTAGTTTTAGAAGTAAATACAATAGTGCTTGAATTATGCAAACTGTAGCATAGAAGTGACCCATGCACAAATATACAAGTTACGGAAAACCATAGCATACGAGTGACTATGTTTGTGACTTCAAAAAACACTGAACATTTATGCACAAGAAGGACTACCATAAAATTCTGAACAAGGGCCCCGTTCAATTTATGGGTTATCTGAATTGAGCTTGTCGTGTATACTTTGTAATGCGTGTTCTCTCTCTAACCACGATTCTCCTAGTAACTGTAGCACAGTATTTTGATCACACAAATCCAACTAGCCCAACACTTCACTTTGCTGAAAGTTCCACACCACAATAGGAAAGAGCCCCCCCCCTCCCCCATCTACCGCTTTTTTCTTCTCCGCATTAGTATCATGCATCACATCTGTGCAACACATGCCTACTTGAATCTCATCCTATTCTGTTTAGCAGCCTGACATATAAACACCTGAAAATTGTCATTAAAACTTGATTTTTTTTGCACAACGATCGCACCCCTAACTTCAAGCAAGACACCCATGATTATCGTCAGGGTTTTGTGATAAAGTAAAAGCGTGGCCTTCGAGATCCACATTCCACTATGGTAACCCTATGACAACTCTGCACACTATAGTAAGGCCTCCCAGATTCGTGTCATGTAGAGCTGCTGTGTTGGCTGATTGTTGGATGTGCCTCCTTGCCATGCTTACCACGGTCTGATATCATTGCCATTGTGTTTCTTGTGTTTGTGAGCTGTTGTAAGTACGCTGTGCCACGAATGACATCTGTGTTTTGCAATACGATCCCAATTGATGATGGGATAATTGCTATAGCCTTGACATCAGGATATCATACTAGACGAGACGAGTGTTGTGAATGTAGACCCACTTCGTGCAGGCCCAAGTTTGGTCACTTGTCTCGTCTTGAGGACGGCCAAGCATTCTTGGATGCCGTGGACCGGGAAAAAGCTGGTGTCACTGTCATCGTGCACATTTATGCTCAGGTGGGTTGGCTTTAGCAACCTATGACATTACAGTGACATTGTGACAATTGGAAAATTCAGTAGACGCTCAGTAAACAGAAGTCTGTTCAACGGAATTGCTGCTTATCTGGAACTGCCTCTAATATGATTGAATTGGTGCTTGAAATTCTCCACCTCTGTTGAAATGAAACATATCATTGAATACAAGAAAGTCTGCGGGTATAAAGTGGCAATGGAAAGCACAAGGCCTAATCGACTGGCGGAACATGAGAGAGTAGTTACGCTGATGATGATGATGATTGTCACCAGATAGAAAGGTGGGCTAGTTGGTAGTTCGTAGTCATTCAGTGAACTGGGAGTGCAAGAACACGCAACAGACAGAGGAAAAACCACACAGTACGAGCGCTCATACTGTGTGGTCTTGTATGTCTTTTTTGTGCTTTTGCGCCCCCAGTATGCCGAACAAAACCGAAATATATTTTCTTGATACCCTAAGGTTTCATTAAACAGTAGCCTACTGTAAAGTAGAGTTTGCCTTTTCAGATTTCAATATTCTTTTACTCGCACGCGTGGGCCATGTTTAGAAGCACTTAAAGATATTGCCACGGGAATTGGGCTATGCCACTCTGTGTGCCATTCTGAAACAGAAGAGATGACAAGGAAGTAAAAGAAGATGATGGGTTTATGGTGATTGGTTCCGCTCGATGTCCAGTGCTCTTGTAGACGGAGGTTATGTATTATTCATAATTACGTGACATTTGCAAGTCCTGTGATTGCAAGTGCATATGTGCACTATTTGAGGTGAAGTAGCGCCCTATCTTAGTGACCTGATGTCCACCATCTTTCCTAATGGTTGCATGACCAGTTCCTCAGCACTTTTCTGTCCACAGCTATTAGCATCGACAGTCCGCTACTGACGATATTTCAAATTCAGAAATTTTCCGCTTTTCAAGTGTGACACCCTACCAATTATCATCTTCCAGTGGGTAAAAAAAACACCACTCTTTCCAGTTTGCTTGTGTGTTTTGCTAGTGTGTTTCATTGTTCTTCTACATGGCGGTTTAGAAGCACTTGTGAACTTGGCAAATGTATACTCTGTTTCATATATCAGGTGCAACGCTGTGGATGCTATGCAAGAAATTCGGTCAGTAAGATGTATATTGCCCGTGTTTCGCGCTTGGGTTTCGTGGTCGTGAACGTGGCCTCCGCGATGGGGTCCAGGTTTGTGCTGCTGGAAATAGTTGCCGAGGCCATCATAAGAAAAAACAAAGACGCTCAGCGATCCTCAACAATCTATTGACAACTGTGTAAAGTTTTTTTTTATTTCTCAGGCACAAAGGATGTATACATTTATTACTCGGGCTAGAAACAAAAAACATCATACGCGTAGTAAAATTGTTGAATTATTTCTTGGTTCGAGCGCTTCTACAGCAAGAAGTCTCGCTAGCCTCCATAGGGCTGCACCTGATGTATAAAACGGAGTAAAAGTCCTAACACTGTATAAAAACACTGCATACCATGGCTATGTGAAAATTCCGCATTTCTTAAGATTTTAATGATCTTCATGGGCAGTTTTTGACATAGAGGGCATAGGTAAACCTTAGGACAACTTAACTTTGCCAGATTTTCATAGCATGGGTAGTGCAAGTTTATAAAGCTGGCCTGCAATATAAATGGGTGTCCTCTGACAAGTTTTCTTGTCAGGCGACAGCCATTCTGCATTGTTTCACTGCTGCCTTTTACTTACCTCAAGGTTCTCAGTGCAATTTAAGAGTTAAAATTTTTATTTTCTGCATTTTAGTGTCGCTTGCAAGTTGTTGTGTGTGGGAGTAGTACTATATTTACTCTCATAACTTGCGCACTTTTTTTTTGCGATTTTGGGGCCCCGAGAAGGGGGTGCGCAAATTATGCAGGCGTTTTCGCGAGGGCATACGAAATATTTTGTCACAGTCCTAACGCACGCAATATATACGTACGCCTATAAGAATTGGAGAAGAAACTAAATTTACTTGTTAATTTTGAATATTTAGCACGTATATTAACTAGTCGGATCCAGTCACGCACGATGTAGCGGGAATCATTCACCTGTGAAGTCTGATTAGGAGTCACGGTTGCGGTCGCTGCAACCCCCCCACCCCTAAGTGCATCGTCTTAGGTTTTGTAAAGTGCACTCGAATGCCCCATTTTCTTGAAGCTTTTCGCAACAATGGTGTGAGAAACTAGGTCACACGACACGGCGGTACTGGGTGACATAAGCGTTCGCACATATTTGAAGAGGCCCTTTTCAGTGGCAGGAAACTTGCATTAGAAAGCGCACACTCCTCTGCTTTCTCGCGTACTTATCGCGCCGATCATCACATGTTCAAGTACATCACCTTGAAGTGCTTTGCGGTGGCAGGGTTCCCGTTTTCTTCTGCAAAATATACAACAGCGAGCTTCAATTTCGCCGTATATATAGTAACTGTAGCACATCACAAGGGAACCATAAAAACGTGTCGGGCGGATGGCGAAAACCTAAACTTCCGAAATCGACCAAACGTTGATTGCAGCGTGGACGACGCAGAGAGCAAGTGGAACGGTAGAGGCTCTCATGCCTCCCATGCAAAAAGTTGTCCGTGCTGTGACGCAAGCACGCATTCTCAATGTGGTAGAGATGGTGAAATAGAGAAAGGCAAACGTTCGAGCAGTTCCGCCGATCCATTAGCAGCTAGATTTGAGTGTTCGTGCATGGTATTCGAGAGACCCTAGTTCGGGAGAAGTCCTTGGAAAGATGGACCGTGTACTCGCAGCCCGTTTGACTGCGCGTGTCTGCTCCAAAGCATCGGAAAGTCTCTGCGTGTGTGCGCTGGCGAGCTGGCTCAGGTGGGTTGGGGAGCGCAAAATATGCGAGTAAATATGTTTTTAGCAAAGCTAGCAAAATATTAGGGATGTGTAAATTACGTGAAGGGGCAAATTATGCAAGTGAATACGGTATTTTTTGCTAGTCAATGGCCAGTTGTTGATCTTGGCATGTAACCATTGGTTGTACTCAAAAGTGTGATGCCATGATTTGCTAGAGCTTTTGATTTGTTTCTGTTTAACATGAAGAGTTGAAATTTGCTGATATATATATATATATATATATATATATATATATATATATATATATATATATATATATTAAAGGTTAAAGGTAAATAGCCGACCGACCCATTAACGAGAAACCTTTCCTTTACGCACGCTGCCCGCCGAACGACCCATTACGGGGAAACCCCTTTCTTTACGCGCGCCGTCACGGACCTTCCCGGCACCGCGGCGACAATCTTGGGTGGCCCGACACACGTCAAGAACTGAACAGCATGTGATATGAACAGTATGTGGATGTAGACGGACAGTTGGCTTCGTTCTCAGTGTTGACAGTGGTTCTTCCTTTCTTTTTTTTTTTCCTAGTTCTCTCTCACTCTCGCAAACGTCTTTCAAGGCGAGAGGGACGCGGCAGCAACGAAGTTTGGAAGCTCATGTCAGTATAACTCATCCCCTGATGAAGGGAGGACCCCTCCCGAAACTGTTGGAAATAAATATATTTATCCTTGTTGACAACGCTCCCGTTGTGCCATATCCCATACCTTCACGAAGACTAACTGGCCCATGGAATTATTACTCCCACTGACCTGAACCATGGCTGCCAGTACATCATCAACGGAGCGTTTGTCGCGGAGATATCCAAATTATCCTACGAAGTGTGCCGTCATCGGGGACTCAATCATGCGGTACGTTCACACGCACTTCAGCCCGAACGACTCATCGATGCCGTGCTTCATCTCCTATGGTGGTGCTATGTTTTCGGACATTCCGGCGCTACTTGAGTACCTACCTTACCGGGTGGACACGTTGTTTCTGCATGAGGGCACCACGGACATCCTGAAGACGAGCTCTTCAAGATCACTGGATTCGTTGAGGGAGGCATTGAAGCGAATGAGGCAGATGCGCCCGAACATCAAGACACTGCATCTTAGTTTGCCACTACCTCGCGCACCCAATCGCCGACGGCGGGACTCGAACTGGCGATCAATGAATCGGTTTAACATGGAGGTACATCGATTCAGCAGAGAGGCCCGCCGTCTCTGCAACTACGGGTTGTTGGGAGCAGGCGTCTATTACGTCGAACATGGTTTCTCAACACTCCCGCTGCGCCGCTTCCTGGCTGCTGACGGCTTACATGCAAGCTTCGAGGGAGTCGCGCTGCTGGCACAGCACACGAGGGTGCAGCTGCGATGGACGTCGGCGGCATGGAGATCGGCGGCAATCGCTTGCACGGACAACTCCAGTGCCAAGCCCCCTCAACAACAAGGAGCCGAGCGACGCACAGAGCCATCCAGGGCACCAGCAGTGACGATGTCGCCACTACCACCAGCGAGGCCAGCGAGCCAGCGAGTCCCACCAGTGAGTCAGAGATCGGCGGCAACGGCTTGCACAGCAAACTCCAGTGCCAAACCCACTCAACAACAGGGAGCTGAGGGACACAAAGAGCCATCCAGGGTCCCAGCAGTGACGTCGCCACTCCCACCAGCGAGGCCTTACAACACCAGGCGGACGAATGCGGCGAAGACCAAGGCGGCGGCTTCCAAATGACACAGGGAAACAAAAGGTACGGGCAGTCTTAAACACGCATGGTCCGACTCATTTCTATCGATTAGGAAAATCATTGAAAAGCGGGTGCAATACGAAAAACACGCGGAACAACTAACCAAATATCTATCTCACGAAATTGCACCTAAGGGCCTCCGCCTAGCCTGCAACCCCTCAATGTCTACACTAAGTGAAGCAGAAAGGGGGAAGTGGGAAAAAATATTACTAGAAGCGTCCTTGCAACTGACTCGGGTCATTGCGGACCATAGTGAGCGTAAGGCCGCCGAATACAGTGTCACGGAGGCCACGCAGAAATTGGTATCTAATCTCGGAGAGCATGAGGCAAGAGAACAGGAAAGATATGAACTAAAGAAGAGAGGCGAAATTTCAGTAGTAAAAGATAGAAAATTAAA